GACATGTTATCGTCACGTCAATGACACATCGGAGGACTATTTTAGCGAAAAAATTTTACTTGCGGAACTATCTTAAGGTATGGCCTATTTAAAATCCTAAAATGATAAATGAGGTCAGAGATATGAGACTAAAAAACAGTTTACCAAGACATTTTGTTAGATAAAAAAAAAAAAAAAAAACAAATCCATATGTAGCTGATGTAACATCTACGTGGCGATGATATGTAAGCCACATCAATACCATGTAAGCAACGGTAGGCCAGTGTGGCAAGTTCGGCACCGGAGGACCATTTTAGCAAAAAAAATTTACTTACAGGATTATTTTAAAACATAGTCTCTTTAAAGTTATAAAATAATAAAGGAGTCGGGACAAAAAAATAATTTACCTCACAAAACAAATACACCCTTTATGGTTTGATTCTAGATTTGATTGAAAACATAGAGAATATATTTCGATCAAATTTTCATAGAGTATGAATTTTTATGAAGCAAATTCTTCATAGCAAAAGAAACACATTGTCCCAAAATAATTAAAGTATATCTAATATTGAATTCATTTTATTAACTATTTTATTATTGAATTATAACTATTAAATTTCAACAATATTTTTCTTAGTGGGAACCTTAATATGAACCTGAGATTCATAATTTATTTGTAAATAAAATTAGTGAGTTATTAAGGCGAGATTTAGGCTACGCTCGAAAAAAAAAAATACACGTCCGAAATTGATTAAATTTGAAAAATTACTTGTTCATCTGGCATCGTAATGATGTATCTGAAAGTGGGATTCAAATCAAAGTGCAGATACCTTGAAGCTAGTTTGCCACTTGTTTATCTGACATTGTAATGATGCATCTAGAAGTGGGATTCAAGTAAAGGTGGAGATGCCTTGAAGCTAGTTTGCCACTTGTTCCTATGGCATTGTAATGATGCATCTGGAAGTGAGATTCAAATCAATGTGGAGATGAGTTGAAACTAGTTTGCAACTTGTTCATCTGACATTGTAATGATATATCTGGAAGTGGGATTCAAGTCAAGGTGGAGATTTTTTTATATGCCTTGAAGCTAGTTTGCCACTTGTTCATCTGGCATTGTAATGATGATAGTTGTCCAAGAAGGAGCAAATATGAGGCAGAATGGAGAGTCTGTTCATCTGACATTAATGATGCATATGGAAGTGAGATTCAAGTCAAGGTAGAGATTTGTGGATATACATATGATTTGGATATTATGTATTATATTCTAGAGATATAATTTGGATATTAGATATTATATGCTAGATTTAGATATTATTGGCATAAACTTATGTTATAAATAAACATGTATTCTCATTCTAACAGGTTGCCATACGGCCAGGCCATGTGGCCAAGTGGCTTAAATCTTGCAATAAAATTTGTTTTCCGTTTCTGTCCGTGAAGGTAGCCAACTCGTTTTTTGTGAACCACGTAAATCTGTGTTTTCTTTACGTTTTCTATTTATTATTCGATTATTAATCCTAATCTGTCACAACATTGGCCACACTCGAAAGATTATAGTAAAAATAATTTTATAAAAAAGGTAGTGTTTTAAATGCAAATAAAAATATTTATTTTTTGAAGAGCGAGATAAAAATAAAAGGATTTTGAGTGGGTCTTATATTATATTATGTATAATATTATATATTATATAGTTAATTATGTTTATTTATATTTGTTAACTATATTTTAATCTAGTAAGTTTACCATAATTAGAAAAGAATCAATAGTTACGATGACAAACAAAAATTAAAAAATTGATATATATCAATTAAGATAGACGGAGGAAATATATATTATTTTTTAGATGATGAAATAAACTTCTTTCTACAAATTCTGGTTTTCATAAGTTTAATAACTACATTCCTAACAAATCATAGTCATATTTTATCGGAATTGGCTAGTCCATTTGATCATTATCAAATGTATACTGATAAAAGTGGGAGTCGGACTGATGAAGTGAATAGAAGTTAACAATATTATGACAACGAAGAAGATGGTGATGAATATAAAGATAATAATGATGATAATATTATACTCTATCCTTGCAGTATTATTAAAATTTTTGTTTACTTTTACTTTTCCTTTTTTTTTTTTTTTTTTTTTTTACATTGATGTATTTTTGTTTGATATGTAAAATTAATTTAAATATAACTGTACTTTATTTTATTATTTTAAAAATATAATTAAACTTAATTTTATAATGAAAACAAAACTATATAAATATTCAATTTTATTATTTTAAAATAAAATTAATTCAAAAAAAAAAAAAAATTTGATTCTAATATTTGTCGTAGAAGGCTATAACAATGTAGTATTAATAATGCTCTAACATTTTTGCGAAAGACCTCAATAACCGGTTGGGGTCTTCTGCAACAATTCGTCGAAAATTAATCGCAATTGCTTGTCACAACAGCCGCGGAAAACCGCAATAAATTGCTGCGGACTTCCGTGAATCCAGTGCGGTAACAATTCTGCGACAATGCATTAAAATATCGGGTCATATATGCTAAAAATAATTCTGCGACACTGTTATTTTTTTTTGGGAGTGAGTAACTCGTATAATTTTGTATTTACGAGAATGAATCGAAGAAACCTAACAATTTTGGGATAAATTTATAACAAAACTAAATTTAATTTTACATCCATTTTATCCAACAACACAGTTAACTCTTATTATGGAAAAAAATTGCAGGTTTTGACATTTTGCTCATGAGGAAGGATGTTCTCATTAATGTTGTCCAACTTTTCACTGGTAATGAGTTTATACAATTGGGAATTTATGTTGAGGGTGTTGTATTTTTCGTCCTATATTTATCTTGTTGGCAAAATATATCTCATATGTTTACAAAAATCGTTATTTCTATCATTTTGCCACGCGCAGCTGACGCGTGGGGTGAATGTCACGCGTGGCCAAATGATAGAAATGACGACTTTTTGTAAACATGTAGGATATATTTTGTCGGAGAGATAAATACAAGATAAAAATAAAAATAAAATATACATGAAAAATATTTTCTGCAATTTTCTCCGCTATTCAGTCACAACATGGAAAGAGCATAATAAGTGAAGTGTCACAAAATGTTGTACGCTATGCTTGGAGACTAAGGAGGATGTATTACTAGCATTTATGTTAGTGGACATAATAATTTACAAGAATAAAACAGAATAATAAACTTGACCATCGTTTAGCCCAATTGAAATATAAATTGGCTTCGTCTACGATGAACATAATTTACCCTAATTTCAAACTTTTTATTTGAAATGATTGTAATATATATTAATTTCAAATCTTTCGTTTGAGAAGATCATAATTTATAGTAATTTTAAACTTTCTGTTTGAATTTATAATTGATAGATCTATCGATAGAATTTTATCAAGATAATCTTGCAATATGAACAATATACATGTGCGTTTAACTCGAGCTTCACAGTTTGATTTTTCTAAAAACATATAAAATTAGAAATACTAATAAAATTTCATATCCAATATATATATATATATATATAAATTATAAGTATATTTAATCTTGTAACTTGAGTCATATATATGTATTTGACTTTGAATTTCAAAGTTTGATTTGTCTCGAAACATATAAACTTAGAACTATTAATAAAACATCATATAAATTATATATAATAAGAATATTTAATCCAATTAATTTGATAATTTGATATTTGTACTTTTACTCACCAATTAATCAATTATAGAAATTGCAAATTTAATTTTCTATTAATTAAATAATTAATCGATTATCCAATATTATTAAGCCACCCTAGTTAAATATGAAGTATTGTAGCCTTGATATATGATTTTAGTGTTATTTTATTTTATTATTGTTTGCTATTAGTGTTTAAGTTATATTTTTTGTCTTGCTTTATGATTTTTAGTGTTTTTATTTTTTATTTTTTTGCTATTAGTTTTCAATGTTATATTTTCTATATTAAGCTTATTCATTTACACTAACAACCAAATTAACTCTAATACAAAAATCCCTACTAAAATTTGTAAAATCAATTTGATTCAATATTTGAGCACTAACAACACCACAACTATGGCACTTTAATAAATTAAGTACCTCACCAATAACTCTATTATCAACATTTATCAAATAAAAATTAACGTAATATGGAAGTAATGAAAACAATAACATCAAAAGTAAATTCCTTCTTTCACAAGTAATTTTGTTGATATTGCTTTGATTTAACGTGACATCCAGGCCTGCAAGTCACGCAAAATCGAGCATGTCGGGATCGTAGACTGGCTCCATAGGTCAATACGAATCATTTCAGTACACTTTTGTCTTCACTCACGAGCATCTTTGGAAACTTCACAAGGTCACTCACCCTCAAATTACTTTAGAATAAGTAGTAGAACTTTCGAAAAACAATGTGCACATTGTTGACATAAGTCTATTCAATGTATTTAATTTCTTATTCAACCTCGGGGTATTTCATCATTCCCGACTCATATCACTATTCAACTATGGGTATTACAGTTAAACTAATTATATTAGTAAAAAATTGATACTCCCTCCATCTCATAAAAAAAGCTTCATTTTTCTATTTTTTATTTTCTATTTTCGTCCGTCCCACAAAAAGTGTTCTATTTTTTAATACTAATATTAAAAAAAATCTATTTTAAAAATATAAACATTACTCTTTATATAAGACGATGGAGTATTTGTTTCAATATTTTGATATCTTGATAACCTTTTATTCTCTAAAAACATCAAACTAAAGCTGTAAACGGAGCCAAAATTTGATTAATATGTTTTGAATGGAATTTAAAAAATATAGTTTATTCTAGCAATAATAATAAAATATCCACGTAATTCAGCTCAAAATCTAATTATTGTAAAAAATGGGGAGAAGCGTGTGGGATTGAATTTATTAAAAAATAAATAAATTTAAAAACTTTTTTTGAAAAAACAAAGAAAAGGAAAAGAAAAAGGAAAAAAAAGGCTGCAAGTGCAACAGACAGAGAAGAAGTTTCCGAACGACGTCGCATTAGTGGCCACTATAAACTTTCTTTCTTCGTTTCTTCCTTCTTTCCTTTGCCTCTCGACTCAACCGTGCCGAGTTTTGCCACTGCTCGATGACTATTGCATTTTCCATCAAAGGAGTAAGGGAAAGTAAAGATTTCTGACCCGCATATGTATGTGTGTGTGAGGCAAGGACGGGGGAGGAGGAAGCGTGGGAAGGTGAAGTGAGGCGTTTGATTTACTTTGTCACTAACTCCAGGAAGAGCTTGGAGCCGGAGGAGGGGCAGGTTTGAATAGAATCGGGATTTTTTGGTGTTCGACTTTGTCGTCTGCGTTGGAATTGGTGCTGCGCTCTCATTTTTATCCTTTTCGAAATTTTCTATTGACTGTGCAAGTGCGCGCGCTGTTTCGGTCGCCTCCTGTTTCTCTTGCAACACTGTGCTTTTTTCCATGTGGCGACACGACAAACGGGAACTGCCAAGCGTTTCTTTAATGCGATGGTTGAAGCAGCGATGAAGAAAGAAGTATCGGCGGAACTCCATCGATATTGTTTTGTTTGCGATTGACTGTCTGTTCGGTTTTTTATTGTTCCATTCTCATTTTTCATCTGAAGATAGAAGTGGGTCAAAGATGGTCGAACTTGGGGCGGAGAAATCGGGCGGTGGCGGCAGTCCTCCACAGAGAACGGGCTCCGGTTTGGAGTGGGAATCGCCTGATTTTGCGTTGTTAAGCGACGAGTGTTTGTCGGCGGCGGAAGAAGCGGCTCAGAAAGTGGTGAATTGCGTGCGACCTACACTTGACTCGGAGGAAAAGAGAAGAGATATGATTGATTATGTTCAGCGCCTCATCAAAACCCATCTCAATTGCGAGGTGATCAATCTTTTCACTTTTTCATGTAAATTCCCTTCAATCTGTGGACAATTTTTGTATGCGCGTTGCAGGGTATTTCTTGGATTAGTTCTTTTGATGTAGGAAAAATGGTAGAATATTCTCGTGAACTAATATATGTATATATATATGTATAGATATACATTTTGTATGGAGGTTTATTCTGTGGGGGAAAATTAAGGGAAACTTCAGTTTTATCTTGTATGTATGATCTTGATGGTGACTCTACTTTTTACTGTGTTATATGTCTGCTGCCATAGTGTAGTCTTTAGTCATGGAAGGATATAGGAAATTTGCCCATCTCTTTTGGCCTCCATAGGTTGTTCTCTGTCGTTTTTCGGCTATGTTTTTTCTGTAGTATTGGGATTGCTCTCCCTATTTGTATCCAGAAAACTTACTATTACTTTCCTTGTATTTGGTTTGAGGGTGCACCTTTAACTTATTTGATTTTCTTTTCCAGTGAATTAAGTTAACTGACAATCCTGAGGTGTTTCAACTAATGCAATAGGACATTTCTGGAAACTTCAATAAAAACACGTTGAATGTTTGAGCAAGTAACATTATTTGTGTTTGAAGTACCTATGCTTTCTCATGTTCACTTGTTTTGGGTTTCCTCACTGTTGAGAAGAGGATCTTTAGAAAAGTTGCACTTTTTTTTCTCCATTAGACAATTTCTTATGCACATACCCATACCCAAGTTAAACTGTTTTTATCAATTTATGTTTCATATATCAATTCGCCCCCTAAATTGTTAGCCGAAGGAGCTGGATATGACATTCTTGCCTTGTGCTGTGTGGCCAAAACAATCTCAATGATCACTTTTTTGCTTGTGAATGTTATTTGTTCTTGATTTTGGCCTGTATTTTGTGCTCGATTCATACAGGTTTTCCCTTATGGGTCAGTGCCACTCAAGACATACTTACCTGATGGTGATATTGATTTGACTGCCTTTGAAGGTCTTAATCCTGAAGAATCAGTGGCCCTAGGTGTTTGGAATGTTTTAGAAGGGGAACAGAAGAATGAAAATGCTGAGTTCCGAGTTATGGAGAGCCGTTTTATTAATGCTGAGGTAATCTTCATTCGAAAGCTCTGCCTGTCTGACAGTTGGAATGTACACAGTTGTAGTTTCTGTTTATTTTTTTTCACTAATGAAATTTCATTTTTCCATTATGTTATATACATGAGGATGGTGACATATTTTGTTATGATTTTGCTATAATGCCTCAAGATTTTCATTATATATGCTAAATTTCAAACGCCCATACCAAGTGCACGCCTGGCGAAATTCACCTGTTCAGACTTGACATCCTTTTGGAATCATTGAGCTATCTCAAGTTACTTACATTCCAGAGCTTGTAAACATTATTATAGTTTTAATGATTGTATGTAATATAGGTTGACTGTTAAGTGGCTCAGCAGACTACTGTGCTATTTCAAGTTACTTTCAATTTCAGAGCTTGTAAATATTATGTTACTATTCATGATAATTAGTAATATGTTGACTCTTAAAACTTCAAGTGGCTTGCTCCCCATATGATGCACAAGAAACTAATTTTGCCAATCCTGAATATTGCATGCTTTTCTTTAGAATGTCTATGACTTATTCAAGATTGGAAGACCTTCAAGGAGTTGGGGGATAAGAAATAATGGCAAAATGGCAATTATGCTTATGTATATTCAATGATGTGGCTTCGGCTTAACAAATTGCTTGGTTGCTGTCATGGTTTTTAAGTCAAGATTTGCTTATATTGGTGAGCCAATTTGTCTTTGCCCCAATTTTTAAGTTCCTGTACTGATTTTGTCTCTACTTCTAAATGGGAGGTTAAAATTGTGAAATGCATTGTGAGAACAACTGTCATAGATATATCTTTCAATCAACTAGGCGGCCTTGCTACACTTTGCTTCCTGGAGCAGGTAAAGCATTCTTTTTTTAAACTTTGTGCCAGATGTTAGTAATGAATTATTGATTTTGAACACTTTTGCAATCATGCTGTATTCAGTGCTTGTAAATTCAAATGTATCTTCAGAAATTCCATGCAGTGCTTGATGTTTACAAAATTTCCCATGTCTCTATGCAGGTTGACCGTCTTATTGGGAGAAAGCATCTCTTTAAGCGCAGTATTATCCTGGTTAAATCTTGGTGTTATTATGAGAGCCGTATTCTCGGCGCGCATCATGGGTTAATATCTACTTATGCATTGGAAACACTTGTGCTGTACATCTTCCATCTCTTCCATTCATCCCTAACCGGTCCATTGGCGGTACCTACTGTTATTATGCACTTTAAATTAAATTACATGCAAAAGCATACTTGAATCAATATATTATGTCATTTTTATATAGGTGTTGTATAGATTTTTGGTTTATTATAGCCAATTCGATTGGGAGAATTATTGCATTAGTATGAAAGGACCAGTTTGCAAATCATCCCTTCCAGATATAGTGGGTAAGCAGTATTCTTCAATTATATAAAGATGGTTGATACGCTTCCTACTTCTCCATCCCTTCTTAGAACAATTTAGTGGACCCACTCTTTGGTTTCTTTTTGTTTTTGATGTGCAGTGGAGATGCCAGAAAGTGGATGGAATAATCTGTTGCTTAGTGAGCAATTTATGGTAAACTGCATGGAAATGTTCTCGTCATCAAGGATGGTTGAAGCAACACCAAAATTATTTCAGCCGAAATACTTGAATATTGTTGACCCACTGAAGGAAAATAATAACCTTGGCCGCAGTGTGACCAAGGGTAAGGATTTTTACTGGTATTTTGTTTTATTTTATTTTGAATCACCAGTCTTCTGGTAATTGATGGTGTCCAACTGACACCAGGTCAAGTGTTAGTTTTTTTAGGCATTTTAAATTCATCTATCTTTCCATTGTTGGTTCTATTTCATAATAAATAGAATGTATAAAGAGACTGCTTGTTTACAGTTATTTTACTAGTTGGATCCAAGTTAGCTGATACTTGAAAGAAATTGTGAGCCGACGAATGATTAACCCTTCGAAATCCTGCCTTTGGTTTTTTCATTTAGATTGTGGGCTATTGGAAAATTTCTATGGACTGTTCTCCATGTATGGGATTTGTGTCAATTTTATTGAACTGGCAGGTTATATTTCCATCACATTTGGACCATTGTCGACAATTATAACATTTTTAGCCATATGACTGACTTTACACCGTCCTAAACTGGTTGCTTTTAATTTTACTGAGTATGCTATACCATTGATTATTTGAATGTGTAAATAATTGTTCCGATGGTGAATATGACCATGTTTGTTGTTATATTCCAGCCAACTTCTACCGTATCAGGAGTGCTTTCAAATATGGAGCTTACAAGCTCGGTCAAACTCTTTTACAACCAAGAGATAAAGTGGCTGATGAGATCAGTAGATTCTTTGTAAACACTCTCACAAGGCATCAGAGTGACAACACGAGCAGCATTCAATGTCTGACCGATTTTGGGAATGAAGAGTCTTTGTCTGTATCTGTACCATCTCCCGCCGAACTCATTTCTGTGGATGATGGGCATGTCAAGTCATCCATCAGTGATGTTGACCGTGATAGTGTCAGGATGGATTCTAAGAATGACACAGACAGATACTTGATGCACGAACACTATCTCGAAGCATCATCATCAGATTCAGGAGGAGTTGTTGCTTCTCAGGATCTTGCAACATCGGATTCTAGTCAGAGGAAGGGAGCCTCAGATTTTGAAGCTTGCAGCGATTACGACAAGATCCTGTCGTGGGACCGTAGTTGTAAATCGTCTTCCTTCGCTTCTCAAACTCGCAGCTTAGAAAAAGGTGACTCTTGTCAGAATAACTTAGTTGATAATTCATATCGTAAATTTGGTCTGGATTCATTATCTTTGGACACCACGGGGTGTGGGGAAGTGAACAATAATTGTCAGCAGTATATGGACAATTCACAGGCAGTCAGCAAAGCCAGGTCGGATTCTTCAATTGCAAAGGCTAATTTCTCAGACAACTCGTCGCCTGATTTCTGGGAGGCGGACTTTAAAAGCATTGGGGGAGAGTCGGAATCTTTCAATCCTTTGGCTGATCTGAGTGGGGATTACGATGACCATATTAGGAGCCTTCTGTACGGTCAACTATGCCTTGGGTACCCTTCACCATTGTCATATCATCATCCTCCTTCAGCATCCACTCAGTTTGAGAGCAACAACCCTTCATATGATGCTGCTCCTCAATGGATTCCATCTCAAGGAAGTGAAACGAGTTCGTTCTCACAGTCGGGAGTGTCTCGTAAGCACCCGGTTGCTGATTCCACTTGCCATTCTGAAGAGACACGGAATCTACACACAAATTCCCGGAATTCGGTAATATATTTCTCCTCCACCTGCATTTTGTTAATCTACCTAGATGAGCTCTCTTCTCATGCCCACCCGTGTGTTGCAGAATCGTTTTCCCCAGGAGTCGTCTTCACGAGGGAGGGGTAGAAATAAGGCTCGTGGCAATCGCAATCAGCCTCGTAGATATCCTTCTGCGGGCGAGGATAAACCTAACTACTTTCAAAATGATAATCACAGACCCAAGGGATCGGGCAAATGGAATCCTTCCCTTCAATCTCCTCATCTAGAGGGCAATAGGAGTAGCAATAGCAGCAGCAGCAACAGGGATCAAACAGCTAGCGACCAAAGCGCATTGAACAAAATCCAATTCGGCACAATTGGAAATCTGGCAGACGAGTTGATTTCATCCACAGCTCGTGATGAGGGATCATCGCGTGACATCAAACAGGATAAAGAGGAAGCAGTGATGACGCCAAAAAGGTATGAAAGGTAAAAAAAATTAAGAAAGAGAAAACTACCTTGTCTCGTTTCCAATTCTATACCATACTATCATCTCAAGTTTGGTAACCTCAGTTGGTTCGAATTCAGGTCAATCCACATAAAAAATGAAGCTGAGTTCCCACCTCTTCGCCAAGAAAACCAGCGCAAGGACGGAACGAAGTAGCCAGCCGGCCAGATGTGCCCATTCACATTTACACAGGTAATCCTAGTCGAGTGATACTGCTGTCACTAAACCACATTTCTTGAACACTTTGAATCTGAGTTTTAAGGGATTGGATTCATGCATAACTAAATAGTAGAGTCGTGGAAACTTTTCCAATATGTGAATACATACATACATACATACATATGCATAAAACAAAAAGAAAGTCGTTATAGAAACCCTCAAATAGAGCTGTCGATACGATTCAATTTTATAGTGTGTGTTCGTTCTAACTGTAATTGTACTTTTATGTGTGTTTGGATGAACTCTTTTAATGATGGGTAAATAATTAGGTTCATAGATTTGTGTTTGTAGTTATTTATATGCATGGGGGGTTTATTATAGTGTTAGAGACAATGGTATGAATTAGGACAATCGTTTGCCTACAAATTGGGGATTTTAAGGCCATCAGCATCGGGGGTTTCTCTCCTGCACAGAAACCCCCACGTCGGATCAAAAAAAAAAATTAAAAATCAATTATTTGCTTGCCAGCGTGTAGCGCTGGCTGCATCTGCAGCATTCCCTTGAAACCGGAACATTAGTGTATTTTTGTCATGTGTTCCAAAGGCAAAAAAAAATATTTTTTTAATTAGTTTTTATACATTATATTTTTATTATATATATATATATTTATTAATAATTTTTATATTTTTATATTTTATAAAATTTTATTTTTTACAAAATGATACCAATATTGATATATTTTTGTTAAATAAAATTTTAGTTAAATATAACCAATTAATAATAATTACAAAAGGTTGTACCATAAAATTGAATTTTCATATCATATTAATTTTATTGTATTAGTTTTTTACACCATTTTTATATTTATCATTGTAGTATCAAATCAATAGAATTTGTTTTATTTTTCTTCTTCTTTGATATATAGATTATTATATTAAATACGTTTTTTATATTAAATTTTATTAAATATAAATAATTATAATTATATAATATTATTAATATTGATCACAATAATAAGAAAATAATAATAATAATAAATATTTGTTATTATTTATAAATTTAATTATTAAATAAATAAATACTAATAAATATATATATTAGATAAAAATTATTATTATTTAAATTATTTTAAAAATAGATAATTTAATAATATGGAGGAAAGAAAAATTAAAATTTATGTAAATGAATTTCTTTGACGAAAGTATAAAATGAAATGAGTTTCTCCGATGGCGTGGCAGAAATAGAATATAACGTGGAAGATAAGAGAGCCGGAAGAAACCCATAGGTTTCATTGATGCAGATGGGCTGAGGCCTCAAAAGAATATTTATCAATAGAACTTAGAATACATTCAACGGGGTGTGTTTGATCACCAATTGATTGATTGAGTTATATAATTGGAAGTTATATTTTAGTTGATTTATTTAATTAATATTAGACAACGTATGATTAAAAAAATTTAAAAAGTGTATTTGATTATTTTAATAATTATATTTTATTAAAATATATTTTTTCTGTTTCAAAATATTTTTTATTATTTTTGTGTGTTTCACTTTAAATATGTAATTTCTATTTTAGAAAAAGTTATTATATATTAATATTAAAATATCTTTTAATTTTTACTAAGATATACAATTGTTTTATATATAAAGTCAAAAGAACAAAAATATCAAAAAAAATTTATATATTTTTATTAACTAATAAAATATTATTTTTTAATCTATTAAAAATTGTGCATTTCTTTGGAGTTTGATTCAAAAAATTTGGTTTGAGTTTGAATTAGATTTGAATTTTTATTTTTTATTTTTTATTTTTAAATTATCTTTGGGTGTTTTAGGTTTAGATGTGGTTTTTAGTTTTTATGGGTAATGTGATGTGATAGATAATAATTTTATTGATCGGATTAATTATAACCTTTTTTATAAAAAAATAAGTTTAAATTTATAATAATATCTATACATTAAGTATACAAATATTGTTAGAAAATCGATTAGTTATTTAATCGATGAAATCTAATTTTGAATTAAATTCATGATTTTCGGAATCGATTATTCGGTGAGTTGAAATGCATGTGGAATGTATGATGGTTATTAATAATGTGGTTAGGCATATGATGCTGGTAAGCCACGGATGCGTGTTACATGCCCGAACCAGATAATAACATAAGTACACAAGTATAAATTTTGTCTCGGTTTCAAATGTTTTGGTCGTAGTCGTGGGTTTGGGTTTGGTGAATGCTAGACTTAACGATGTCTATTATGTTCTGAAGCCAAATCGAAACAACAAAAATATTTTGTTGAAGCCCAAGAAGATATATCTATGAGAAACAAAAATATAGCTCAAAAATTATAATTATATAAATGTATGATAAATAATTATTTAAAATTTGAACTTTAAATTCACTATGTTTCGTATGAGAATCAAAGTCAAGTGGTATTTTCCACGATTTTTTAGTTGATTCATCAAAATAAAAGTCTAAAAACTTTGCATTAAATAAATCACTCGTTGTTGCTTCAAGATATTTCACAATCGAGGGTGATTCATATTCGACATATATACCAAATCTTCTTTGAGGTCCCATTTGTGCGTTGGGGTGGCACAATTGGTACAAACAACACAACCAAAAATTCAAAATTGAGATATATTTGGTACTTTTTCATATATCAATTGAATAGGGGAATACCAGGGATTACTTATCGCCTTTATTTTCACAATGGTTGTTGCACCCAATATGACATATTCTCAAACTGATACAAGAAGTTTAGACCTTATTAACAATGGTCTAGCAATTAATTACAATCTTTTAAGAATGGATTTAACCAAGTTATTTTGTGTATGTATATGGGGAACAACATGTTCCACAACAGTCCCAATTGACATACAGTTATTATCAAATATATACGATGAATACTCTCCAACATTATCTAAACGTATTTTCTTTATCGGGTGATTTGAAAATTGTACTTGCAATTTAAATATTTGTGCAAATAGTCTAGCAAAAATTAGGTTGCGAGTAGACAACAAGCATACGTGTAACCATCGCCATTGATGCATCAATTAGTACCCTAAAGTACTTGAAGAGTCCACACGGTGGATCTATAGATCCAGAAATATCACCATGAACTTTTTTCAGAAAAGCTGGGAATTCAATTCCGATTTTTGTTGAAGATGGCCTGATTATTAACTTTCATTGGATGAAGAGATTTACATGATACAACCAGAATGATATATAACTAAGGGATAACACAACCTAGTATGCAGGTTAAGCAAAATCTTATATGGTCTAAGCAAACACCAAAATAGTGGTATCGAAAGTTTGATGGCTTCATGTAAAAGATTGACTTTAGAAAATCCAATGTCGACCACTACTTCTATTTTAAGCGGTTTGAAGGTTCATATACAATACTTTATATGTGTATGATATATTATTTGTTGGGTCCTGTGCTCAAAACGTTGTGAATGCATCAATTGACAGAAAGATTCTCAATGGAAGATCTTGGAGAAACAAAGCAAATTTCAGGCATGCAAATAACTTGAGATCGAGATAGTGGAAGATTGAGTTTCTCGCAGGTAGAGTATCTGAAGAAGATTCTGAGGAGGTTCAACATACAGGATGCAAAGCCCATGAACGCACCTTTGGGAACTCACTTCAAGTTTTCAAACAATGACTCGCCAACTTATAAGGAGGCAACTATGATAAGAGGAAGAGCACATATGGAACTGTGTTCATTTATGGAGGAACAACGTGTTCATAGAATTCAAAGTTGCATAAGGTATTTGCTTTGTTGGCGAAAAAAGCTAAATACATTGTAGTAACGAAGACTTGCAAGAAAATGGTTAGGTTGTAGAATTTCATGTTTGAGTTGGGAAAGAATTCGAAAAAACAATCATTTTATAGCAATAATCATAACACAATTAACTTGACCTGAGGTTTCATTACATTTGAGAGCTATTGAAAATGAAGATTCTAAAATTAGAAAAGATTTAGAGATCAAAAAAACCCAGCAAATATGTTCAATAAGGTGATGACTTTAGATAAATTAAGATTTTGTTCAATCTCAATTGGCCTAGATGAGTGAAGAAAAAAGCTTGGTGGCCTTACAACCTCTAGTTAAATATTGAAAGAAGAAATAGAGATAACTTGAATTTCAAGTGGGAGATTGTTATATTATAAAGCCCAAGCTGAGGCCTGAAAAAGTATTGTACGTATAGCCTTTTGATCACCGTTCAACCTAGGATTTTACTTTTGACATCTATATATACATAATGTATTTTCTCTATAATCACACCAAAGATACTAGTGAAAATATATAGCTTGGCCACCCCACACATAGATTACTTTGATTAATTAAGTCAACAAATTATTGTCTCCTTATGTGTGCATTTTTTGTTTTCTTTGTTTTTACAATTTTCATAACACTTGTATCGAAAAAAAAAAAAAACTTTCACCTTTCTCAGCTATGAAATATTATATCCAAAGAAAAAAAAAACAGGAAATGACTACACATATGGCAAAGGATAGTGTGAAGAGGTTACTGCATAACCTCTTCCAATAAATCAATAAGCTCAACCAATATTCTTTTATAGTATCTTCCTTGTTTAACACTCACAATTATATATTCTTTCATAATCTTATGAGTTTACTGTTTTCTTTTAGAATAATTTTCTATTTATGTATACTATTTTGTGTTCTAGTAGTTTTTGTACACTCATCTACGATTCAAGGATTAATCAGAGTAAAAATATTGGTATTATACATAGTGTCCACTTGCTTAGCGGTTTCAAGAACTTGTAAGCATTGACATTCGATGGATTTGTGATTGATCACCGGGAACACAACCAAGTTGAGGTACTAAGGACATTTCCGAGCCTCGTGATCGGGTTTGATGTAAATTTGGAATGTAGACTTATGTCGATTACTATAAAGGGTTGAACCTGGGTCAAAAGAACAATTAGAAAAAGGCTTTGGGGCAACGACATTGGTAAAAAGTAGCGAGCTATCCTTATTGTCATTGTCAAGACTTTGTTCCTCCTGGAAAAAGGAAGCCGAGCAACTCATTAGAAGTTACTCGTTGTAGTTGGATGCTAAGAGCCGACTTGAGAGCCCTATAGTCGAGACTAAGACCATACAAAATATAAGATGTAATGACTACATAAAAACAACTATCAAGCATCTGATTTCTTTTCAACATATTTGATAATGGAGATAGCTCCTTTGAAAAATGTTTGAAGTTGTTGCTTCAGGTGCATTTTGCATGCTTGAGTTTGAGGTTAAAAATCTACTCAATCATGATTCAAACTTCTAAAGTGGTGATTTCCTAAGCCACGTGACCGAACAT